CACATGTTTTACTATGTTCATGTCTATATACTCATCACATGTTCATGTCTATATACTCATCACATGTTTTACTATGTTCATGTCTATATACTCATCACATGTTCATGTCTATATACTCATCACATGTTTTACTATGTTCATGTCTATATACTCATCACATGTTCATGTCTATATACTCATCACATGTTTTACTATGTTCATGTCTATATACTCATCACATGTTCATGTCTATATACTCATCACATGTTTTACTATGTTCATGTCTATATACTCATCACATGTTCATGTCTATATACTCATCACATGTTTTACTATGTTCATGTCTATATACTCATCACATGTTTTACTATGTTCATGTCTATATACTCATCACGTGTTCATGTCTATATACTCATCACATGTTTTACTATGTTCATGTCTATATACTCATCACATGTTCATGTCTATATACTCATCACATGTTTTACTATGTTCATGTCTATATACTCATCACATGTTCATGTCTATATACTCATCACATGTTTTACTATGTTCATGTCTATATACTCATCACATGTTCATGTCTATATACTCATCACATATTTCACTATGTTCATGTCTATACTCATCACATATTTCACTATGTTCATGTCTATACTCATCACATATTTCACTATGTTCATGTCTATATACTCATCACATATTTCACTATGTTCATGTCTATACTCATCACATATTTCACTATGTTCATGTCTATATACTCATCACATGTTCATGTCTATATACTCATCACATATTTCACTATGTTCATGTCTATATACTCATCACATGTTCATGTCTATATACTCATCACATATTTCACTATGTTCATGTCTATATACTCATCACATATTATTCTGCATTCATAAGTATACTACAATTTTTATGACTAATCTTTTATTTTGTTCATACATATACATTTTTCATTTTCAATATTAATTTTAATGTAAATTACATATTTTCTGATTACTTATTTCCAGGTATTAGTACTGGATTAGTACCCATGTATTTATCGGAGATAGCACCTACTAATTTACGAGGTGCTGTGGGGGTTTTTCATCAGCTGTTTGTGACTATTGGTGTTTTAGTATCACAGATATTGGGATTGAATGAAATATTAGGTAAAGTAACCAATCATCTGTTCCCAATCAGTTGAAGAGAGACTTATACATTTACCTATTTGCTAAATTCATCTATTTATCCTGTTCAAACTTGACATGTCACTTACACATTCATTTGTTTAAAGGGCGGCAGTCGTCGTGCCGCGTCTTGTTTGATATGGGACTCATAGCAACATATACAACGCATGTAAAATACATTGTTTATTTACATGAAATTCGAACACGCGCTGCACGACAACCACCACGCTTTAACTATCTGATTCAAGATGGCTGATTGGTAGCCATTGTTGCCTTGGATTTTGTTAAAATGTTATTGAATATATTAACAGAATTCAAAAAAGCATTTCTAGAGGTATTTATTTTTTGTTCATAACACACAATCACACAATCTACCTATTACAACTATTACAGCTATGTATTTTTTCTGCAGGTACTGAACAGTATTGGCCATTGCTGCTTGGTTTAACTATTATACCTGCTGTTTACCAAATTCTAACGCTTCCATTCTGTCCTGAAAGTCCTCGTTATCTACTGTTTAATAAGCAAAAAGTAAAGGAGAGTGAAAAAGGTAATGGAGTTTTTTTACTGAGTACATACTCACGACATATTTTACTATGTTCATGTCTACAATCATCGCATGTTTTACTATGTTCATGTCTACAATCATCGCATGTTTTACTATGTTCATGTCTACAATCATCGCATGTTTTACTATGTTCATGTCTATACTCATCACATGTTTTACTATGTTCATGTCTACACTCATTGCATGTTTTACTATGTTCATGTCTATACTCATCGCATGTTTTACTATGTTCATGTCTACAATCATCGCATGTTTTACTATGTTCATGGTTACAATCATCGCATGTTTTACTATGTTCATGTCTACAATCATCGCATGTTTTACTGTGTTCATGTCTACACTCATCACATGTTTTACTATGTTCATGTCTATACTCATCGCATGTTTTACTATGTTCATGTGTACACTCATCGCATGTTTTACTATGTTCATGTGTACGCTCATCGCATGTTTTACTATGTTCATGTCTATACTCATCACATGTTTTACACATCATATCATACATATGCACATGCATTTGTTTCATGATACAATTGAAGATGGCCACATGGCGGCCATTTCAGTTCTAAAAATTTATCAAAATCCAACATTTCTGCCATCCCAGAACCGGATCAGTCATGCATAGAATTTTTTTGTTCAAACTTGGTACGCGTCTATTAAACGTAATGGGTTGTTGATGAACATCATTTCTTTTCACAGATTTCATTTAAAATGGCTGACTGATGGCCATTTTGTTCTTAATAAATGCTATTTTTGGAGCCATATTGCTAGCATGGCTGATCATAATCAAACTTTCCACACACATCATGTACCACATTTGCACATGCATCAGAATCTCATTAGTCATCAAGATAGTTTTTTTTTTGCACAAGAAATGCATTATGAATGCCATGGGAAGGAATCTCACTAATATACTGGCTTCACTTTGTATCATGTCTGTCACATTTGGATCTAATGTTGACAGACACTAAAAACTGGACAAAGATACAATTGCAATGAAAATTACATATTTATCATTATTTGAGTTTAATTACCTGTTTCAGCATAATTAATTTCTGCTTTTTTGTGTTCTTGGATATTTCTGATCCCTTGCAACCATTTTTCTGACATGCCTTC